CTCATTTCGATGTTACACTCATCGAGACCTTTAATTTGAGTATCAACATCAATTTTTCATACATTTATATATATTACATATATGTATATATGAAAAATATATAAAAATGCATGTGGGTATTCAAATGAAAGCTCTTGATGAGTGTAACATCAGGATGAGCTTATATCTTTAAAAATGTCAATAGTTAAGAAAATACAGGGCATTTTAACGAATGTCTTGTGAACTATTGACATTTTTAAAGATATAAGCTCATCCCGATGTTACACTCATCGAGACCTTTCATTTGAGTACCCACATCAATTTTTCATATATTTATATATATATTACATATATATATGTATATATGAAAAATATATGAAAATGCATGTGGGTACTCAAATGAAAGCTCTTGATGAGTGTAAAACCAGGATGAGCTTATATCTTTAAAAATGTCAATATTTAAGAAAGTCCAGTGCAATTTAACAAAAGTCATTATTTAATAAAGCAAAATTTTATTTATTTATAGTTAACAAGTCACGGCAGTCACATAGTGACTGCAAGGTTGCTAGTAATAATAATAATAATAAATTAGTAGAACTAGAAATATGTAATAAAAAACGGAATTAAAAAAGGTTGTGTAACAGTTTAAAAAAAAAATAATGATGATGTTGATGATGATGATGATGATAAAAATGATGAATTTTTTAACGTCGGCTCGGATAGATTTAGCCTGAAATTTCATTATAGGACAAATTGAAGAGGTCCCGAGTGAGGAATGCGCACCAGGCCATTGTGAAAGGTTGATAAATTATCCCCGGTCCTCTCTCTCTCTCTCTTTCTCTTTCTCTGTTTAATCCTCGAGCTCTTGCTCTTGCAACCGCGAGCGGTATAGAGCCTCTACTCCCAGTCAATAACGAATTCCAGTCCAAATTCGGTAGCACGAAAATTTGACTCGGAGGCATCGAGCGGGAAAGAGACCCAGAGTTTGTGTTTGGGCCCATTCTATCAACAGAAGGAGAGAAAGACCGAAAGAAGAGGGACCACTACCTCTACCTATACGACTAAAATAAACAAGTCTCGCTGCATCGCCCTGAGAGTAAGTGAGAGTAAGAGTGAGACCCCAGTATTCCCTCTATACCTATATACTCTGTACGCCAGATAAAATAACCAGGCAAACCGCGAACGAGCCTGCCGAGGATAAGGATAGGAGCAAAAGAACCACCGAGTCGTGTCTAGACCTAAACCCTCCGGTCAAATCGCGGCAAATTACCGTCCCGGATCCCCATTCTCATATTTTACCAACCATAAATATTAATTCGCCTTCCCCGCGCTCTTCAAGCCCCAAACCCGTACAGTCGAGCCCAGAAATTTTATCTCGCGTGGTTCGAGGTTTGACAGCCTTTGCTTGACATCCAACTCTTTGCAGGTTTTAAAAAAATTATTTTTAATCAAGGAAATTTTTATTCTAAATTTTTTTTATCATTTTTTTAATTTTAATCAGTTTTATTAATTTATAAAAAAAAATATTTTTTAAAATTAGATAATCAATAATTAAGAAATGACTTTTTATCTCGTGAAATATTGACATTTTTAAAGATATAAGCTCATCTCGATGTTACACTCATCAAGAGCTTTCATTTGAGTACCCACATGCATTTTGATATATTTTTCATATATACATATATATATATAAATGAATAAATATATGAAAAATTGATGTGGGTACTCAAATGAAAGCTCTTGATGAATATAACACCAGGATGAGTTTATATCTTTAAAAATGTCAATATTTAAGAAAGTACAGTGCAATTTAACAAGAGTAATTATTTAATAAAGCAAAATTTTAATTTTTTATAATTTACAAGTCACGGCAGTCACATAGTGACTGCAAGATTGCTAGTTTTATTTAAATAATTAAGATGTTAAAAAAATTTTTTTTACGGCCATCTTTTTATTTCAACAGGAATTTTTGTGGTTAAATAATTTAGATACCAAAAAAAAATTTTTTTTGATGACTAGGAATGTAAAAGTTTGATAAAAAATGAAAAATAAAATTTTTTAATTTAAATTCTTTCGGCGTGAAGAAAAAAACAATATTAAATTAAAAGGGCTGAATATAAAAGAAAATTTTTATTTTTATTTCATAATTTTTCGTTTAAAGCTATGAACTATAAGACGTGAAACTTAAAAAAAATTGAAGAAGTTATTAACTTTAGTTTGATTTTTAAAAGTAAAGCTTTTATTCATTTTCGATATTTTGGAGTCTAAAAAGTTTATTTTTAAAATTTAACTATGAAAATCTCTTTTGAAAGAAAAATGCTTGTTACAAAATTTTCCGTATTTATTAAATTATATAAACTGATACCTATTTGACTTTTAACGACGTTCATGTGTACAAAACAAAATAAATAAATAATGAAATTTTATTTAGCCTGAAATTCGAATTTTTCATAATTACTTTGCAAACTAGTAATAATAAATTAAACTATCACTAGAAAAGATATGACGCCTTAGAAAAGCACAAATTTAGGTTAAATCTTATCAATAATACTAAATTAAATTATAGAACTCAATTCTATGATAAAAATGGCTGGGAAAAAATTTCCCTTATTATCTTAATTGTCTAGATTAATTAACAATAAACAATTGAACATTAGTAATTAAAATAAATGATAAAGAAATTAAAATGAAGTTGTACTGAAGAAGGATAAATGAATATAATAAGTCTGGAGACTAAAGATAATATAATAGTAGAGAAGTAAAAGCCAATGTCCTGCCGTAAGACGAGTAGTTGGTAGCGTACAACACGTTGACCGATATCTCTAAATAATCTACCACATACGTCTCAGTCTAAGTCTCTCCATAGGATATAATACCACGGGATCGGGCATCCTATCGGTGGCTGCTGTCCGTACAGTAGTATTTAAACATTTATTTATTTTTATTTTTATTCTCTCTTACACTCGGGCCCACTAATGATGGCCCGGCAATAACCAATAAATACTCGCCTGGTGAAACAGGCTACCGGACTACGTCTTTATCTCTTCTGGTACATCTCCTCCAGTTAAGCTGCACCTAAACCCTGTCCGGTATGTAGCTCCGATTAAAACGCCCAAATAAATTCAAATAAAATTACATTTTACGGTATAAAAAATCTTTATTCTTATTTTTTTATTTTTCATCTTATCAAAAGATTTTTTTCTTGGTTTCATTTGAGCAATTACCCGTAATAGCGGTATTATTATCTAAATCTATATTATTAAGAGAATAAGCAAAATTTTGTGGCCAGTGTATTTATATGATAAAATGGGTTTTTATGGTTAAATTTGGTATCGTTGGAAAAATCTTAACCTGAAGTTATGCCTTTTCATGGTTTCATATCATTCTCACCAATAGTCAATTTATGATGATAAGTATTTAGGCTGCATTCGAAAATACTCTATTTCTAAATACATAATTAAGAAATGACCTTGTATCTCGTTAATTATTGACACTTTTAAAGATATAAGCTCATCCCGATGTTACGCTCATCAAGACCTTTCATTTGAGTACCCACTTGAATTTTTCATATATTTTATATATTTATATATATGTATATATGAAAAATATATCAAAAATGCATGTGGGTACTCAGATGAAAGCTCTTGATGAGTGTAACATCAGGATGAGCTTATATCTTTAAAATCGTCAATAGTTAAGAAAATACAGCTCATTTTAGCGAATATCTTGTGAACTATTGACATTTTTAAAGATATAAGCTCATCCCGATGTTACACTCATTGAGACCTTTCATTTGAGTACCCACATCAATTTTTCATATATTTTATATATTGATATACATTATATATATGTATATATGAAAAATATATAAAAAATGCATGTGGGTACTCAAATGAAAGCTCTTGATGAGTGTAACACCGGGATGAGCTTATATCTTTAAAAATGTCAATAGTTAAAAAAGTACAGTGTAATTTAACAAAAGTCATTTTTTTTAATTAGTAATTTTTTTACCGGATAATAATAATAATGACACAATAATTTTTTTCATTTATTTTTGTTATTATTACTATTATCAAAATGATAAATAATTTTATTTATTATTAATTAAACTTACGTAGGTATGTGAACTTCGCCAATTTTTAGGAGCGTATTTGCTGAGTTTATTCTCGGGATCTACGAATAGGTACTCGCCGTCTGTAACAAATAATATCAATAATCATAAATATAATCATAATTGTAATATAATTATTAATAAAAATAACTAAAGTATGCTTAAAATAAATTCCTGATGATTGATGCATGATAAATAATAATTGATGAGTGATGAGTGATAATAAGATTAAGTAGACGATGGTTTAGTAGCTTAGCCTCAAGCTTACATTTACATAGTTATTAATTATGTGGAAATAATTGAGTGTTTCAAGGTATCGCTTCAGTAACTGATACCACTATCGTGAGTAATTAGTAATTAGTATTGAGTGATTAGTAATGAGAGCATTGCCCGAAAGGTACAAGATTATTTCGTATGGGATTGGAATAATCAAATAAATTTCCTTATTATTAAGTATTAATAAATATTTATTAAAAAAAAATAATTTATCTTGAATTAAAAATGAAAAATAATTGAATTAATTAATATTCACTTAAATCAATAAAAATTTTTCTACTTAAATTATGATCAAATTCTTCAAAATAATTTTTTTTGTTCAAGTTTATTTTTTTTTTTTTTTAAAGTAACTTCTTCAATTATAGAAATATAAATTCAGCGATTGAAAACTGAAGCGAATTCGTGCCATGGCAACAGCCCTAATATTTTTTTATTTCAAAGCTTCAGCCTCGGAGTCGCACACCTGCTCCGAAACCGGGATATATATAGAATATAGAATGCAGAGGCATTTAGCGATAACGTTTCTGGGTTTTGGCTGGAGGGCTATTCGCTGGTTAAGTTGGCCAGAAATCTTTCCGGACTATAACCGCTTGCTAGTAGTCTAAATATTAAATAATAAATAATAAAACAAGGGCATATTTTGTAATAAGAAATAAAAATAGGATTTTTAAGCAAAGCAACTTCGTGACAAGAGGACAAGAAAGAGGCCGTGAGGAAGAACGATCTCATAAACCGAGCGCCTTTCCCAGAAAGAAACAATGGCTCACCGGTCCCGGTGGTACAGCAATGCGCCGTAACCGTAATTACGACCATAATCACCCCTCTGATTGCCGGGAAGGCGTAGCGATCGCTCGAGAGAGAAAACAAGATACCAGATACCAGACACACTAGTCAACCGAGTGAAGTTAAGTGAAGTGTAGCCAGCGGTTAAGCAACAGCCGAGTTCACCAGCAGAAGATAGAGGATAGAGCGACGGGAGAAGGAAGGAAGGAAGGATCATCTCACACGTTACCTGGGCTGAGAGAATAACTTTTGCTGATGGGCGCTCGGCTCCCATCAGCATTCTCCTTCAATGTTTTCACCTTAAAACAGTCTTCTATCTTTTAAAATGCTAATCATCAGGATTATCGGCTCGAGCTTAGACGAGCAAGCTTGCAAGCTTTTAGGATTTTATTTCTTCTACAGGTTATGGGCCCAGAATTGAATTATTTTTTTTTTTTTAGTAGGCTCCTAATAAGCCTTTTTTAATGAAATTTTTTGTAGATTATAAAATAAAAAAATCATTTTTAAGTTTTAGCATTTTTTTGTCTGTAATTTAAAGAGTATAAAAAGATTTTTTTTATAAAATTGCGACTTATTGCAAGACTTAAAATTTCTTTACTTTTCTTTTTGTTGATGGATTTTATATTAATGCAGTAATACATTAAAAAACATTATGTCCATTTAAACATTATGAAAATTTTATGTTTTAAGCTATCATGTAAATTTTTATTTCCATTATGTACATATTAGCGGTACTTATGTGAATTATAATTATAATTTTATGTATATCATTTTTGCCATTCGGCTTTATGCCTTGGCATTTGAACTTAATAAATAAATAAATAATGCAGTAATAAAAAAATTAAGTTCATAATTTTTTTTTATTGAATCAAGTAGAAAAATTTTTTATTTGAATGGAAATTTTTTAGAGTCACGCAAAATAGTTGAAAAAATGCGAAAAGTTTAATATTTTGACCGAAAAAATTTTTATTTAAAAATTTATCAAGCTTAAATTTTGAACTGATCTTGATTGGGGCTTAAAAATGGGTCAGTAGTGAAAAAACTCGATAAATTTTTTATTTCTTTATAGAACTTGATCATTTTTTCCTCAAAATCGCGAAAAATTTCTAACTTTAACCAAAAAAAATTTTTTACCCTAAAAAACCCGAAAAATTAATTATTTTGACCGAAAGAATTTTTATTTAAAAATTTATTAAACTTAAATTTTGAACTGATCCTGATTGGGGTTTAAAAATGGGTCAGTAGTGAAAAAACTCGATAAATTTTTAATTTTTTACAGAACTTAATAATTTTTTCCGTCAAAAATGCGAAAAATTTCTAACTTTAAGCAAAAAAAAATTTTTTTACCAAGAATAGAAAATTTTTATTAACAAAAATATAAAAAAATTCCTGGCCTTACCATGAGGAATTCGAGGCCCGCTATTCTTATCGGCATCGGTATACGGTCAGTAAAGTCAAGACGAGACGAGACGAGACCCGAGGAACTAAACGGGGAATGTTAAGGCATTCCACATTAGTCGCGCCACCCCGCGAGCGAGTGGCTTCAGGCGGGAGTAGTGTGTCGCGTCATGAGGAGAGGGTGATGGGTCGCATACCTGAAGATCCCGGGCTCGGTCACTGAACGCGAATATGCATTCGTTCTTCCTATTCGCGGTTTCTCAATTTTTGTTTATCGATATTTATATTTACATTTATATTTATGGTTATAAATAAATACGACATAACATGAAGTGTGTGTTTATCGTAAAAGTCCACTCCACGTGCAGAATAAGAGTCCGCTCTTCGGAAAAAGAGAAAGGGGTAGAGTAGAGACTCGGGTCATCTTCCTGAAGCTTGGGGGTTCCCCGGGGGGTCCTAGTATCTCAAGTCTCGTCGCATATTTCTTCAGCTCGATCAAATTATTCCGAGGAACAAAACACGCCGAGTAAATACACCGAGTCTTAGTCTTATATTGTAGATATATATATATATCTGAGTATGAGTATAAGGCTCTCCTCAGAGTTGTTTTGCGGTCCCGAGATGGCCGCCGAGCGAAGGGATCAGACCCGGGAAGAAAGACAAGGAAAGAAGAAAGAAGCACGAAGGGCCAAGGACGGATAGGAGCGAGATGAGGATGAAGGACAGCCAAAGAGGACTGCTGGTGGAGGAATTCGAAAGAAGCGAAAATGCTAAATGAAAAAAAGGTACAAAATAAAATGCCAGAACTGATGGCTATGGAGAAAGGAAGAAGAAGAAGAAGAAGAAGAAGAAGAAGAAGAAGTTGGAATGGCCCTCGCCAGCTGCTACTTGCTGTATCGCTAAAATCTCAAACTTCCTCTCCTTTTATTCCCAACACGACTCATTTATGTATTCTCTTTTCTTCGGTCTCTGTTGTATCCTTCGTCCACCTACACTTGACATAAATTAAGAGACTTCTTCACAAACGTCCGTTTTGATATTTTAAATAATTCTATAAACAATTTATGTTTATTGGTTATTTTAACCAAAGGTTATTTATGAATGACTCATTCAGGTTCAACCTCAACCTCAACCTCTTATTCCAATAAATTCCTTCTTTCATGGGCAAACCATTAAAACACCGACGTATCACAAGTCAAGGATATACTAATATTATTATTTTTATTGATCATTATTACACCAAGTTGCTAAATAATTGGTACTTATTACTTGTTTACTCGTACTTGTGGTATAAGCTTTAAGTTATTGGAGCAAGAGGAAAGTTTTTCTTTTTTTCGACCAAAGGGTGAGAGATATAGTAAAAATAAGGGCCTTTCTTATAGAAAATTGAATTTCCTACAAAAAAGGTTGTGATTTTTCTCTAACTCCAATATTTACCCCAGAATTTAAATGAGTATTTTATTTTCTAAGAAACTGAATAATTTTCAGAGATAAGTTACTCCTTAAGATTGGATTCAAATTGTGGCTCAGAGTTGAGATACGGCAAAATTGATAAGAACCTTTCTATTAAGGGTACATTAAAGATTATTACCCTAAATTTTTATTAAAAAATATTCAATTATTACAAAGTTATTAACAATCTCGTAGAGCGCTAAATAAAATTTTTCCCTCGATGAGCGGATCGATAACTCAAAAACAGATTAACTGAAAATAAAAACCCAAATTGGTCTTTAATCAGTAAGAATGTAGTTATCGTTGTACGTAGAGAATATTTAAAATTTTAATTTCCAAAAAAATTGCGACTGATTGAAAATTTTCTCACTATTCTTACTGTTTTATGACATTAAAGTTAGCAGCTACTTAACCATTTTTTAATTTTTTTTAAATAGATTTTTTCCAAAAAATTATTTTAAAAAAATTGCATTTTTTATTTTTTAAAATTTCTACATGTTAATTTTTTTTTCTACTTTTTTTTTGCCATGATTTATTTGTTAAAAAAAATCTTAAAATAATCAAACATCTGCTAAATTAATTCAAATGTTTTTTTTTTTATTTATCGATCCGACCATCGAGAGGGGAATTTTTTCTAGTGCTCTACGAGATTTTTAATAACTTTGTAATAATTAAATATTTTTTAATAAAAATTTAGGGTAATAATCTTCAATATACCCTTAGTAAAATAAAAAAAATCCGATCTTCAAATTCCTTTATTTCCCCTGTCAAAAAAATTCCCAAAAATAACCTTTTTCCAATATTTACCCCAAAATCTCGACTCAAACCTCTTTTCGTGCCAATCTAACTTCTGTTGAAGATAATGACACTTGAATCAACCGCGAGGGTACTCACAACAATAAAAGAAGATAAAATAACAATTGCGTTTACAGTGGCTAGTAAACTTATGTATTGTATGGGCCTTAAGCTAATAGCAAGAGCGTATGTACTCTGTACCCGAGAGATTTATTAACGCGGGAATATTACGGCATAAATCTGGCGTAGTGGTGTGGGGCTTGGATCTAAGACTTGTACCAGAGAAAATAAGGAAGAAGAAGAAGAAGAAGAAGGAAGTAAAACAAGATGGCGGATCAGCTGGTACTGTTGGGCCCGATGTTGCTGGTGCATAGCGGGGAAAGGTGTTGTTTATGAGCGTCGGGGTGAAAAAAACAACAAACCTGGAACTTGGTGCCCAGTCCTGAATAAGGATTCACTACTACATACTATAACTACATACTACATACTTCCCAGTTTCGTTTCCCGAAGAAGAGATTGCGTGTTGCGTATGTTGTCGCGATACGGCCCGTTTTCGCGGACATCAGCCGATATAATCCGAGAAGAGCCACAGTACGGTCTTTTGCTTTTATTATGTGCTACAGTGTGTGTATCTCCGCTCGGTGATGGGAGATGCGAGTGTGAGTGTGAGTGTAAGGGCCCGTTCACCCTCCCTCCCACATTCCAGGGGCCGAAGCGGTCGTGCGGCCAAGCTGAGCCGGATCGGGGCCCGCCGTGCCAAGTCGGGACTCACTCAAGGTGGTGGGACGTGGAATACAAGGCACCCTATACAAATCACCGGGCTACCGTCTTACCCGCGAGCGCTTTCTCTTTCTCTGTTCCTCCTCATACCAAGCTCCACACTCTCCTCTTTACTCCTTTTTATTTTTATTTATATTTTTATTTTGGCCTTTCAGCTCCCGTTTTTTACCTCTCACCGTCGCAAAGCCTTTCTAAATCTCAATACTATTTTACTCGAGTAAATAATTTTTATTTTGATTTTTTCGAGTTAATTTTGTAAGGATAATTCTTATTGTTTTGAATTATAGGATTCAATTCTCGGGTTTTATTGGGATTAATCCCAAGTTCGCCCGATCAAGGCCGGGATCAAGGCCCAAGGGCTCGAAATAATTCCCGAGAGCCCTTGTTCACGGAAAGCAAGTCACGCGAATCGCTTCAAGGGTCCAACGGGCCTGCTGGTATGTATAATACCAGTTCCGCACAAGCTGGTTCTATTTTTAGCAACGGGCCTTACTGGGCCCGCCGGCAAGGAGATGGAACTCCAGAAATGACATCCCACATCCAAATTATATCTTGAAGTTCACTTTTTAAAGTGAATCAAGTTGCTGAAGGAAGTTGGTGGATTTAAATTTGGGATTTTTTTTTATTTTGTGGAATTAGGGAATTTTAAATAAGCATTTAAATGTGTAACTTTATTATCAATTGTGATAAATTGTTTTTCATCTTTGGTCAAAGATTTTGTAAATATATAATCGGCTGCCTAATTTCAAAACACAGTAACTAACATTTAGAAATTTAAAAAAATTTTTCTGATTAAAAATCTAAAGATTTTTCTGTGTAGTGATACTAATTATTAATACTAATGTTTTGACTCGTGGCTTTGATATAATAATTAATTAAATAGTAAGAAGATTTTTTTTTTAATTGTTATTAAGAATTTAAATAAATTTAAATTACAAATATTTTTATTAATATATTTTCTCTGTCTAAATCAAATTTTTTCTCTATTTAAAGTGCTAATTTTGTTTGTAAGAAAAATTTTACAAATATGTCAGTATTGTGTTTTAAATTTGAGCAATTTTATTTATATACTTATAAAAAATTAACTGAATCCAAGAAAATAATTTTTAATTATTTTTTGGACTTAAAAAATTCTGAATTAAGATTTTTTTTTTGTTCAAATAAATTTTATTCAGTTGAAAAAAAAAAATTACTGTCCAAAAATAAATTTAGTGATTCAAAAATTAATTAAAATTTTTGCAAAAAAAATAATCAACATCTTTAAATTTAATAAAAATTATTTTTATCAATTCGATAAATTATTTAGTCATGAAAATATATTCTCAATACTTGTCAAGAATAAATTTTCTGTATCAATAAAATTATACTTAATAGTATAATTTTTTTCTCAGCGTATTATTATTTTTTTTTTTTCCGTGTGTAATAGCAAGTACAAGTGGTTAAAAGTGCTTGAAGATTGATAATAATCTAAATAGCGTAATGTATTAATGTATCAAAAGAAAACTTCAAAGAGAGAGTAATCATCAATACTATATCTAGTTGTTCTGGATTTTAAGTTGGATTATTATTTTTAGTTGGCGTGTTGTGGCTCGCGCGTTTTATTTGAAACCCCGGCGTGTATAGTACCTTGCACACACATAGAGAGAGAATGGGCCCCGGTGATGGAGATGGGGGTCCCTGGAATGCGGGACCGCGAGTGTAGTGGGAGAAGATAGTGTTGAGGAGGCACAAAGAGGGAGAAAGGACATTGTGAGGAGAAGGAGAGAAGTTGTTGTCTTGTTGTAGAGCCACCACTACCACACTGAGAAAAGTTATCTCGCTGGTCCATTCCGAAGCATTCTGGCCACAACACATCTTTATGCTCACTACTGAACATTTCGTATGTGTAGGATGTTGAATGTGGAGACGCGGAATAAGAACCTGGAGGAAGGCCCAATACCAAGTGGCGCGTCAGTAGCGGCTGAACAAGTCCGACCGGCTCCAGCTCTACTCAGCTCATCCTCATCCTCATCCTAGCCACATATGTGAGCACACACATATAGAAGGGCACCTCCACATCCAAGTCGAGCTAAAGATGCGGTAGGGCAACGTTTGGTATGCAAAAAGCTTTCAAGATTAAGTCAAGATGTTCGTCAGCATACTCAAATAAATTTATACCATACTCTGTACGCTGTATAGAGGATTTATAATTATATTATATACACTTTTCGTAGGTCGTTCATCATTCTTTCTCATCAAAGAATCTCGCGGACTTTTATATAGAGATTGTTAGTAGTTGTTGCATAATTGTTTTGTTTAGTTTATTACGTACCTGATAGTATTGCCAGGCCAAAAAGTTCGCAATCTCGCATGCCCTGTTGCCCAAGCAGTACGCATGTTTGCGCATATACTTCTTTTACTCGAGACTTGGCCTGTAATCAAATATAACCATTATTATTACTTTTAATTTTTATTTATGTTGAAAAATTATAATTTTTTTGGTTTAAAAATTTTTTTGCATTAAAAGTTAAGTTAGAAAATTTTTAATAAATAATTTGGGGTACTTTATATGATTATAATTAATTAATTTATGATTCAAAATTATAATTATAATAATTAGATCACTGGGGTTATTTTGTATTTAAGGAATACAATGCCAGTTTTTTTGACGAATAAAAATTTTACTTATTCAAGATGAAAAATCGAGTAGAAAAATTATAAATATTCAGAAGAAAAAATTTTTTTTTTTTAATTTATTGGAATAATTTTTTTGTTTTGGATAAATAATTTTAATATTAAGTTGTACCTAATAACAATTTTATTTTAATTAAATTAGAACTTTTTTAATCAATTAAAGGAATTTTTAATATGAAAAAAATTTTTAATTTATTAATTCAAGAGATTTTTATAGCCATTATTATTACTTTTAATTTTTATTTATGTTAAAAAATTATATTTCTTTTTTTAAAAAATTTATTTACTTGCATTAAAAGTTGTTAGATAATTTTTAATAAATAATTTGGGGTATAATTACTATAATTTAAAATGAAAATGAGGTTAGCTGACGTTTCAAAATTTTTAGAAATTTTTTATTGAAAAAATTTCAATTAAACAATTAAAAAAAAAAATATCACATGTTAAAAACTTGAAAAGCTATAAGTGCAATTTTTTATAAATACCTTTTTAGTTGTAATTTAATTAAAAAAAAAAATCAAAAATTTTTAAACGTCTGCTAACTTCATTGTCATAATTTAAAATGTAATTATTATGAATTCTCAATTAAGATAATTATTTTTAATTATTATTTAATTACAAGTAAAATTAAAATTAATCAAAAATAAAGTATCATAATTATCACTAATATTTAATGAATAATTATAATTACAATCTTGGAATACAAAAATCTTAATTAAAATAATTAAGAGGTGTACAAGTACAAATAAAATAATAAATGAAAAAAAACGGAGACTTAAAAAATGTTAAACAACGTAATTAACAATTAAAATATCTAAGATTTAAAAAGTCAGTATATGTACATGCAGAAAGTCGATAACTCTAGAAGAGAGAAAGAGAGAGGAAGAAATAGAGGAGTGACTTGATTATTTAGCTGGTATGTGGGCTACGCTTTCACCGTTTGCAAAATTCATATACACTCGTGTACGTTGTACTCTTGTGCATTGCATCCTTATTGCGCATTATTATTGTAATGTACTATGGTCTGTTATATTATATGTGGTGGGCTTCACTGCAATGTTACAATGTACTCAAGTTTATTCACGATCAGACCCTACACCACCTCAATATTCACGGTTTTTCTTCAAGTAAACTCGTACTGAATCAATTATAATTACTATTACTATTACTGTTACTAGAACACATCTCCAGTACTCCAGTTCTTGCCGATCACAGATATGAAGTATTAATGCAAGTATAAGGTACATAAGCTTCTTTGATGTTGATGCTTCATGTAATGTTATGGCTAAGAGGTTTATTATTATATGTTGTTATATGTGTACATTTATTTAACCGGTTGCCGATCTTCACCACGCACCGTCTTTCCCCTCGGGGACACTTTGGGAATTGACGTTCAATTCGATATATCAATCCATCGACAACTCTCTGGTATACTCAATTCTGAATTACTTGCGTTTCTTATTTAATTGCAATTACAATTATTTATATTATTATATAAAGGAATCAGTTCTCTTTTCCAATTTTTTTTAATAATTAAAAAAATTTTATTATTTTTTGAATGGATTGAAAATTTTTCTTCAAATTTAGTAATTAGTTTTCGCAAATTTAATTAACTTAAAAACTTTTCTTCATATTGATTATTTTAACACAAAGAAAAATGACCGAATAGGTGATAACGGGTTAGAAGAATTATAATAAAATCACGGTTGATAAAAATTAATAAAAACAAAGAAAAATGTTCTTAAATCTATATATATATATATATATAGGAGACTTTCTATAGATATAGATAGTCACTCATCACGATATCTCTGGAACTATAAGACCTAGAGACTTGAAATTTGGCAGGGATATTACTTTTACCATGTAGAGGTCAGCTAAGAACGGATTTTAGGAAATTCCTCCCCCAAAGGGGTTTGCGGGGGCGTTAACAATGAAAAATTCCCATTTGTGAGGGCTCTTAAAACATCAAAAACTAACATTTTTTCCTTCGAGACTAAAAAAAAAAAAATAGTCGGTTTTTTTGCGCCACTCTAATGAATAGTATATATATAAATAATTTGACTTGAGTCAATTCTTTTCTTTTGAGATACGAAAGCCTAACATCTATATCTATATATATATATATATAGGAGACTTTCTATAGATATAGATAGATAGTCTCTCATTACGATATCTCTGGAACTATAAGACCTAGAGACTTGAAATTTGGTAGGAATATTCTTTTTACCGAGTAGAGGCCAGCTAAGAACGGATTTAACGAAATTCCACCCACAAGGGGGGTTGCGGGGGCGTTAATAATGAAAAATTCCCATTTTTAAACTATACCTTCTATCGACTCCAAATTTGGTAGGAATCTTTTGTAAGAGATGTAGAAATAATCTATGAACGAATTTTACGATATCTCACCCCCATAAGGGGTTGCGGGGGTGGGTATTAATAATGACAATTTTTAATTTTCAAGCTATAGCTCCTACAGATTCGGAATTTTATATGAAATTTCTGTACGTGATGTAAAAATAATTTATAAACGAATTTTATGATATCCTACCCCAAAAAGGATTGCGGGGGCTTTAATAATAAATAATTCCCGTTTTCAAACTATAGCTCCAATAGACTCCAAATTGGGTAGGAATTTTCTGTAAGAGATGTAGAAATAATATAGGAACGAATTTTATGGGTATTAACAATTAAAATTTTTAATTTCCAAGCTATAGCTCCTATAGACTTCAAATTTAGTAGGAATATTCTATGTGTGATATAGAAATGATCTAAAAACGGATTTTACAACGAATCACCTCCAACAAGGATCGCGGGAGTGGGTGTTGACGATAAAAAATGTTCATTTCCAAAATATAGCTTCTGAAAACTCGAAATTTGCTAGAAATCTTTTATTTCTCCTGTAAAGATCATCTCAAAATGAATTTCAATAAAGTTTACTTCCGATAGAAATTGCGGGGGTGGGTGTTAAAATCTAAAATTTTAATTTCCAAACTGTAACTTCGACAGACTTCAAATTTGGTGGGAGTCTTCGTGTATGTCAAGTTCAGCTAAGAATGAATTTTATCAAATTCCAACCCCAAAAGGGACTGCGGAGGCGTGAACAATGAAAATCTCTCTTTTCAAAACAATAGTTTCCACGGGCTCGAAGTTTTGTTGGAATATTTTATTTATAATGTAAAAATCATCTCGAATAGGATCTTACGAAATTTCTCTCTCACATAGGAGTGCGGGAGTGATAGTTGTCAAAAAATTCATATTCTTCAAATATATTTTCTACAGATATAAAATTTCATAGAATCTCAAGAGAAACAGGTAATTACAGGGATGGTCTCCAAGGTCAACGGATTAAAATATTTTCCTTTTTTATTGATAATTATATTTTCTTACAACAATCGTCTCTTTGGCAGCGGCGAAAAAGTCATTGTAAGATTTCTAAAATTCAACTTTACATGTAGCTATATAGTCAACGGACTGAGTATTTTGCATACATTTTATTATTGCTGATCACATAACCGATGAATTGTTCTTATTACGGGATCGCGGGAATGTAACAGATTAAAATGAATACATTTTCTAAACACTTGAGATAGGGAAAAGAAATTTGGCTACTCATTTTAAGAGATTTCGTAAAATCAAATCTTGAAATCGTAAATCCAAAATTATTATTTATTTTTGGAGAAAGCCACGGATAACAGCTAGTTAAGTATATAATTTTGAAGAACTTAATATTCTTGATTTGAGTAGAAAAATTCTTGATTTAAGGAAATTTTACTTGATTCAAGAATTTTTCTCTTGAATCGAGTTAATTTTTTTGGTGACTCTTTTATTTCTCATGCAATAATTACCTACGACAAAATTTCTCAGCAAAAATTTTTTATGCAATATTTTCTCACACACACAAAAACCATGATCAAAAGTGCATTTTATTGTTGAAGATATATAAGCATTTTCGTAAATGATGATCAATTTTCTTCAGATTAATTTATGTTGCGATAAATTTTGGTTATAGAAATTATTGTACATGAGATATTTTTATATGAGAAATTTTTGCTGAGAAATTTTGACATGGGTAATTTTTGCGGATTAATAAAGGCGGGGAGCCAATTTTTTTTTTTCAGTGCAGAAGCATTATTTGAACGTTAATTAGTCCAAATACATCCGGAACCAATATTTATCTAAAGAAAAATTATAGCACTCTACTAAATAATTTAATTTCACAATCCTGTCAAGCAGAAATTCTGTGAGTAATGTTTAGCATTAACCATTAACCAGATAACAACTTTTATTTAAAAAGTTTAATTAATCACGCCGTGAGAATTTATCATTAAATAAAAATGCATTCAACATGAATAAAATTTATAAACACATTAGTGAGTCACTCTTGATTGTATTTTTATTATTTATTAAGAATTATAATTATCTATCCACCTGAAATTAATCACAGTGTGCGTACGTATTTGTACCAATATTTGTGTTTGATTAACTTAAGTGCGCAAGTTTTTAAATAAACCAGTATTTTTATTTCCGTATCGCGAAAATATTATTTGTTATTTCAACAGAATTTACATTTACGTATGACAGCTAAATCAATAATAATAATAATAATAATAATAATAATAATAATAATAACAATAATTATAAGGAAATTAATGTGTTGCAAGAATTAAAATAAAGCACCGGTAAATGCAATATTAATAATTTAAAAATAAATGTCTAATGTCTGAAAAATTTGAATTTGAAGAGGTGGAAAAATGATCAAAGCCCAATTCGATCGGATTTATCAGTTTTGATCGGACATTCGGGACAGCCGCGTCGCATTCCTTAGCGCGTTTGGTTGTCCCGGGCCAAAATCTTAAAGCCCCACAGACCATAAAACATCCAGCCCCGAAGAACCTGCTGTCTTGGATTTACAACCGATCTAATCTCAGTCTCAGTCTCACTCTTTTCCCCTTTCTCTTGATCTTAGTCTGCTGGCTGGTATTAACATTACTTGCAAGTTGCGCGTACGTATCCACATAATACATAATAGCGACCCTAAGGAAGATGGATCCGAGGTATGGCCTCTCCCTGCTTATTTTTTATAAATAAATATATAGATAATATCCTTTACAGTACTGAGTTAAGTAGTGAGCTGATTTATTATGTTCGACCGTCCGAGGAATGCCTTGTTCATCCACAAGAATGAACAATTATTTAAAAAGCCTCTGGATATTTCTTCTAATCGCTTCCTCTCAAATTAAATAACGATTAGTCTATTAAAACTCCCTATATATTTTCTTCATCCACTTTATACTTATAATACTTGCTTGTGTTCTATTCGTTCAACAAGCCTCTAGATTTCCAGTTCAATACTTGCCCATAATAATAACTTTTTATTATTACTAAAAGAATTTTTTAAAATTTTTGTGAAGAAAATTATTTTAATATTTTATATTATTCTTTTAAAAAAATAGTTTTGATAAAAACTAAATCCCACGGGGCGAGGACAGGATTTAATAAAATAATATGTGAGAAGTACGAGTCATTTCCTTGCAGAGCGTAGGCCAAGCACGTTAACGAGCTAATTAATGGCTCAATTAAATCTATTTTAACTCTTTATCATGATCATGAGGGAAATCTAAGCCTAATGAATAAATGTATAAATGAATAAATATAAAGTTACTAATAATAAATAAATAAAAGTACCTCAACGACGAAGTAGAGAGGATCACCGGGAAGGGCGTGCACGGCGAGGTAGCGACTGGCGGACACCAGGGGTTGAAGGCAGGACCGCGCAGCCGTGACACCGCTACCACGCATGCTGCATGCTTCATTTCGTCGCCGATACGCCCAGCGTCTTTACTGAAAAATAAATAAATTATATTTTTTATATTATTTATTAAAAATTATTTCAATTTTTTAATATTTTTTTTAAATACTAATTTTTTCATAATAATAATAATAATAATAATAATAATTTTAATTTTTTTTCTTCTAAAGAAGAAAACTAAGATATTTTTAAATTAATTTTTTTACTAAATTATTTTTTTTTTATTTAATTAATTTTTTTTTTTATTAAATTAATTATTAATTTAAATCATTAAACTAAAAAAATTTTTAATGACTTAAATAATAATAATAATAATAATAATTTTAATTTTAAGGGATTATTATTATTATTATTATTATTATTATTATTATTATTATTATTATTATTATTATTATTATTCAATGGCTGACATTAAAAAAAAACCTGAATAATTTTTAAAAATTAAATTAAAAAAAAAATAACAATAATAATAATAAAAGTGTATAATATATAAAAAAGATAAAATGAAAAAAAAAAGAAATAAGCGTAATGCCGGGAGCGATTCCGGTGATTTACTGGTTTAAAAAAGTAAAAATAAATAAAATAAAGGGACAGGCAGCCGATAGTACTGGTGATTGGTGATGCAGTATTATCTTTACTGGTATGTATAATGTATAATGTATAATACGTATGTGTATGTGGGAAGTCGAGCCATACTGTGTGTGGTGACCAGGGACCAGGATGGAGGATCGAGGATCGAGGATAGTGTTTGCATCTGCGAGCTCTTGGTGGAAGGAGTAAGAGCACGCGCGCGCCCACTTTCTCCATCCGAGTTGAGATTTACCCTGAAATGCCACGGTGATTTGTGTGACCAGTTACCGTTGGCATTTGCATAGCATAGGCCCTACCCTTCCTACATATTACACACTACATATACGGAGACCAGAGAGACCGGAGACCGGAGACCAGGGACCAGAATTATACACACTTGGCCATGCATCTCATGCATCTCCATGTCTCCATTTGATCCCAGTACCAGCGAGCAACCTACCGAGTATAGAGTATAGAGTTAAGAGCATTGTTATCTTTATACCCTCCCACTTCCTACTCATGTGTACACACGATATACTATACCCGATCGCCCGATACTCGCTCAAAAAGTCACTTTGAGTAGGTCATGGACCTTATTCATTACTAGTCTTATTTATTATTATGCTAAACAACTTTCTGATAAAAAGAAATTAATTTTACTTTTGTTTTTTTTTTTTTTTTTAATTATTTTTTATATTTACCTATTTGATTAAAAAATAAATTTTTCAATTTTTTATTCTAACATTTATATAGCAAAAATTATATTAAAACTTTTTTATTCCACCATTTTTATTATTAATTTTTTTAATTATTAATCCCAATTTTCAATTTAATAAATGATTTTTTTTATTATTAATTATTTAATTTTTTACTTCAACATTCAAATAAAAAATAGTGCTTTTAATTATTGATTCTAAAATTACACTTAGATAATAAAAAATATTTTCTTAATTAACATTATTCCGAAAATTTAATTAAATAATTGAATTTTTAAACTATAATTCCCATTAATTGAATAAAAAAATAATTTTTTATTTAAATAATAAATTGAAATTGTATTATTATTAATTTTTATATCATTATTAATTTTTTAAAAATAATGTTTTTAATTACTAATGCCAAATTTTCGATTAAAATTCAATTTTAAACTCGTTTATCCCCACATTTAAATAAAAAACTATTTTCTTAACATTATTCCAAGCAATAAATTAAATAATTAAATATTTAAACAATAATTTCCACTATTAAGATAAAAAATTAATTTTTTATCTGACTAATAAATTGAAATTGTATTAATTAATTGTATTTTTATAACAGGTAAACCCAAATGTCCATTTCTAACTCCATTACATTACCAGAATGACTTTCAAGATAAGCCCGAGATAAGAAAACAATAAAAACAACTCTAACGCGCCCTAATGTGTTTCAGTAATTTAAAAACAGTGTAGAGTACACATAATCTATGTAATGTAACAAGTAGTACAGATACATATATTATACATTTCCATACATAATAGGAATACTCGGGAGCAAAAGAAGAAGAAGAGGAACCTATTAAGGAATTCATGCTGGGAGAATCCCACGGCCAGATCGATGCCACCGACTTTTCCATCCGGTATCCGGGGCAATCGGTGTAATAACCCGGTCGTTAGCCGTACGTTCGCACGCACCAGGCACCACTCAGTCCTTGGTCTTTTAAAATACTCGTAGATTATCCTCGGATATTCTTCGCAAGCTACATTTTAAATATCCATCCTCGCTCATAATGTAATACACTCGTATACACGCGGTAAATAATGGTGATAATAATAATAATAATAATAATAATAATAATAATAATAATAATAATAATAATAATAATAATATGTATAATACGCAGATATATATATGTACTGGTGCAAATGAGTATTGCTCTCGTAGGCGGATCGCACGCGTCCTACGGTAATGGATCCCATCGATCATTTGCTCCTCCAGCTCTGCAAACGACGTGCTTCAATATATGTTCCTTTACTTTACTTCTTCCGTTACTGTACTGCATATACATATTTTATTTTATTTATTTATATATAAAATATAATAGCTTGAGTATGTATACATGAGAGATATTTACTCCGAGACCATTAGCCTCCAACAAACTGCAAAAAATTACATCCCCGTTGTTTTTGTTCTTTAATCTTGAATAACAAATATTAAATTGTGTTATAAGTTACTGCTTGTGGTTGTAAATTATAGTTATATTATAATAATAAGATCACTGGGATTATTTTGCATTTAAGGAATACAATGCTGGTTTTTTTTACTTGAATAAAAATTTCATTTATTCAAGAGGAAAAATTGAGTAGAAAAATTATAAATGTTCGGAAAAAAATGTTTACTTTTAAAATTTATTGGAATAAATCTAATAATTTTTTTATGATGACTTTTGCTAAATTGCACTGTACTGTTTAACTATTGACATTTTTAAAGATATAAGCTCATCCCGATGTTACACTCATCAAGAGCTTTCATTTGAGTACCCACATGCATTTTGATATATTTTTCATATATACATATATATAAATATATGAAAAATTGATATGGGTACT